TTGAGAGCAGGCTCTAAGTTTAGTGCTAAGCTAGGTTTGTGTCCTGGTTTTGCTACAGTGTGATCTTGGGCAACCTAATCCCTTGGCTTCTGTTTCTAAAAAAAGGTTCCTACCTTACAGAGTTGGTTTCCCACTTGGAGTCTTTCTGAGATTGTATGTGATTTTGAGCACCTCTCCCAAGAGCTCAGGACCCAGCTCCTCGTTCTCTAATAGGCCGACACTCGCCTTCTGCTTCCCAGTCTCCAGAATGGGGTGTGTGTCCTTACTCCTGGTTCCTGTGTCTTTATGAGTTTATGCTCTTAATAAAATCCCTCTTCTGCTTGTTGAGGACTACGTTCCTAGAGGCACACAGGTAAATTCATGCATTCAATTTGCCATCTTTAACCAGGAGTCATCTTTACATTCTTAAAGGAACATTCTTTAACTCTATTTCTTGATATAACAGCAGTGTCTTTTGAAATTCCCTGTAAATGAATAGATTTACTTCACCCACATGTGGAATCTAATGAACAAACTGAACTCAAAATAGAGAAAGACTCGTAGAGAGCAGGATGACAGCTTTGCAGGGTGGTTGAGGGGTGAAGGGATCGAGCTAAAAAGAAAAAGGACTCTTGGACATAGACTATGGAGTGGTGATTGTGGCCAGGAGGGTGGTAGGTGGAGGTGGAAGAAGTTATGGGGGGGGGGGGAAGGGGCAGAGATAAATGGTAATGCAAAAAATACAATAAAAAATAAACTCTTAAAAAATAATAAATTTAATGCTTCCCTCTTCACTCTCGTTTCATTAATATAATCTGAGGATTACATATTTTATATTAAATTATCCCTTAAGGACAATGGTATTTAATTTGACAGTGAAAGTAGGGCAGTTATTTATGTTGCTAACCATAGTCCATTTATTCTAAAAATATACCTTTTGAATTGTTCATTTGTATTTGTATCTCAGTGAATTATAATTGGCTTATGCAATTTTTTAGGAAAGGCTAATGAGTGATGTATTTTCAGCGCCTTTAGATACAGGAGACTGTTTTTCATCTCCCTTTACAAGTGACAGGCAATTTGGCTGGCTATAGCTTCTTCGATGGAGTCTTCTCTTTCTTCTGTAATGTAGTAATACACAGGAGAAATTTAAGACCAGCTGGATACTTGTTCTTTTAGTAATAACTTATTTTCATTTGGTTTGTGTGTTAACTTGTTTTCATGCCTAAATACTGAAGGATTTTTTTTTAAATTTTAACTACAGGACTCAAAATTTTTGTCAGAATGTGGCTTTGAATTGTTTGGCGTACAATTTAGTGGTTTTTTTTTCTTCAGTCTTTAAAAATTGTGTCTCTGATGATTACTTCTATTCAAGTTCTTCTCTTGTGTTTTCTCAGAAAAACTATACTTAGGCTTGGTTTTTCCCGTCCCCCAGATCTGGGGTGTGCTTCCACCTATTGGTTCTTTTCTCCAGCCCCATGTGGGTGTTTATCTTCTCCATCGATGAGTTAATTTTACACAGTATGTATCTACTTCACCATCCATGTGGGTAATATTGCTGTCACTTCACTTTTAGCCTCTTGATTTCACCTATAATATCTCTTCATCTTACCCAATAGTCTTTATTGATTGATGGTTTTCTAATTCTGATTTTTAGGGACATATCTTTTTATATTATATTAACAATGCCAAACACTTATCTAACATTCACTTCTGATTCCTTTAGGGAGTCATTTTTAGGAGATGGTGCTTCCTTTGAAACTTCAGCATGCTCTTTTCTTTACGTACTTACACAGTACTTCCTAGTAGACCTATGCTGATGTTTAGCTGTTATTTTCATTATTCCTGAATTTGGAAATAATCCACCTAGATCTGGTCACAGATAGGGTGCCTGGGTTGTTCTTGGCCTCATTCTCTGTCTTCTGTTTGCCAGTAAGTCCTCTTTCGATCTTCTGGCAGTTTATAAGCCCTGCTGCATTCTCATGATCTAAAAGAGTTTGATCTAAAGCAGCGATCCCCAGTGTCTTGTTCTTCCTTACTCTGTATATAGATTATATAAGAATCTGATTCCCAGAATGCAATGCCACCATATCATCTTGTCCATAAATATGCTTTTCTGCAACTGAATCTCCTAGGATGCTAAGTGCTTCCCTTTCTTCCCACTATTGTTCAAAAGTCACGGTCACTAATTGATGGGGTGGGGGTATTCTCCTGCTGCCTCAAAAAACATCATTCATCACAGAGAGCTGGCTGGGTTTCTGAATGATACAGCTTTTTGTATTTCTGTGCAAGGTGGCAGAGAGTGGAGATAGGAAGATATACAAAGACCTTTCTACTTCCTGCAAGACCCATAGCTTGTTTCTCCTTGCCTTTTATTACATTTTACAAATCTAATTCATTCTTTTTTTTTCTGTTGTAAATTTTTTCTTCGATTCTTGGAACAGGTTGAAGGTTATCCCCTCCTTTTTGTGGTTACACACACCTTTATTTACCCCTTTTTACAGATACGTTTGTGGGAGGTTGGGAGAGGCCTTATCAGGGGCTGGTAGCCAGCTAGACACCATATAAAACTTTAACTTATATGAAACTAACAAATTTTAAAAGTACTTTCCGCATGTGGCAGAATGCTTGAAAATTTTGCTTTCTGCAGACATTTTTATGGAAATAAACTCTTCTGTGTAAGTATTCATCACAAGTTGTTATTCAAATGGTGGAGGCATCTGTTTTTCTGTAATAGAACCTATGTCTTATGAAAACTCGCTCATTTTGTGATGAAATAAAAATGTAGATACATAAGTCATTGTAGGAATTCCAGTGACTTCCATAAATTTTTTATGGAAGTCTACCTGATCACTGCCTGTTAATAAAAGTCTTAGAGCTAAAGCAGCTGTTATAAATTACTTAAGTTGCAGATTCAGTTGCTTTCAGGGTCCAGAAAAGTGACCTGCAAATTCATGAAGTAGGTTGGATTAATATAATAGGGATTGAAAGGGACTACAGAGAAGTGGAGATTACTTATGATAGCCAATCCGTGGGCCACCAGTATAATAACAAAAGCAGTATAATATAAACCTACACTCCCATGATAGAGCTGGAAGTGAAATCAAGGGATATTAGTAGATCTGTCCAATGTTTGGAGAATCTATGTGTCTTAACCAGAACCAGCTACATTATTTGCAGGGCTCAGTGCAAAATAAAATGGGGCCCCCCAATCAACAATGATTAAGAATTTCAAGGTAGTAAGAGCAAAGCCTTAAACTAAGCATGGGACCCCATGTGACTTGCACAAGTTACATACCCTTGAATCTATCCCTGGTCTTGGCTTCTGATCTAGAATTTGTACACCCACATGGAAAGAAACACACATTCTCACCCACAACCAGCAAAAAATCTGAAAATGGAGAGAGATGGGGTTAAATTAAGTCTTTCTCTGACTGACTTATTTCACTATATCCATCCATGTTGTTGCAAATGGCAACAATTCCTTCTTCTTTATTGCTGTGCAGTATTCTATTTCGTATTGTGTGTGTGTTACCGATATATATCACATCTTCTTTATCCATTCATCTACCAATTGTACACCTGCAATTAATATAACCAACATGAGATTGTGTACTAACTATACTTAAATTAAAAAACTCAAAAAAAGCCAAAATTAAGTCCTTGATTTTGATTCTGCAGTAACTAAGGGAACCACCTTTAATCACAGGAGAGCTTTTGTATGAGGTTTTAGAAGCATCGCTTCTCTACATTCTTTGGAAGCTTTTGTCGAATAATTACTGCTTCCATCAGTTTTTATTGATTCGTACTGCATTCAGGTTTTATGAACTATTAGTTGAAGATTTCCAACCTGAGGTTCTCAGCTCTTCTCTAACTGTTAGTTCTGACTTGAACTTCAGAATGTCTGGAGAGTCACTCAACCCAGGAGCAAAACTCCGAGGGACACTGGTGTCTGCTGTGGGGTCTTCCTCTGTTCCTTATGTGAGTGTAGCTGTCATTTCTTCCAGGAAATTTTGTCCATAACTTGAATACTATCCTAAAATAACCCTTTTTTCACCATATTTAAAATGTATATTGCTTGTAAACACAAAAAGCAATTCACTTCCTGACAAATTGAAGCTGACTAGTCTCCTTCTCCTTTGAATTAATTTACAACTTACAACTCACAGTACCTTTAACACCATTAATAAGATAACCTGAGGACCCTGTTCAGTGAAACCTAGCAGCTCATAAGGGCACGGTTAAGCACACTCAGAAAATGTAAGAAGTAAAACTGGGAATTGAATACTAGGATAACAGTGTTTTTGTAGTATCTAACTGCCTAATTTACATGAAGTCTACATAAATAAAGTCATATTTTAAAAGACTTAAACATTAAATAAATCATTTAAAATGGAAGGAGAACTTAACATTTTTTCCTCATTAAAAAAGGAAAGTCTAACCACTGGATCTGCAGCTTGGTATGGTATAAGATTGTACAGTAAGTTGTACCTCAGATGGATGAGTTATATTTCAGATGGATTCCTGTATTTAGTAACATCCACCAAGATGTTGATAAATATCTATAAAAGACAAATAAAGAAAAATACCTTACCTGATTTCAAAACATTAAGGTTTTTGTTTTTAAAACAAATACAAAGTTTGGTTAAGTTAATATCTGAATCAGACAGAATTCAAAACTATCTCATAGATCTTCATACTGTTGAAATATACCCCACCTTGAATGATTAATCAGAGGAAAGGGAAGAGAAGATGAGCAAATGGGCAAATACATTAATTAAGTGAAAGGAAATTTAGGTTGTGAATATCACTACTAATATTTAAAATATTTGCAATAAGCCATGCACATGAGTGTGTATGTGTTCAGCTAGCACTGAAATTGCTCATTAAATTTAATCTCAGGTTGGGGCATGGATGGGGTTGGGGGCCATATTTAATAGACCTTTTTTAGTCATGTGTTTCAGAATATTCAGTGAAATATATAAGCCAAATGTCATAGAATTTTTTTTAACCTTCTACAGGTGGAGATTTTCATTTTACCTTTATGTATTTACCTATGGAGTCCGGTTCCTGAAAAAGGTACGGCCTGTCAAGTTACTTCATATAATTCTTATGTGACCGTAAGCCTGATCTCTTTTTTTCCTGTGTGACAGTGGTAATATTTTAAGCAATCATAATAGGCTTCTTAAGAATTATCTGTGCATTTCTTAACTTTTACAAAAATATGTGCAGTTTATTTTTTATAGTAAGTAACATTTAGTCAGATACCTAAAATACTTTTGAAAATAATTTGTTTTTCCAGTGAAAGATGTTGCTAAGGCCTCCAATCACTCTAGTTGGTTATTTATTCCTTGTGGGCTTAAGAGCCTTAAAAAACCCATCAAAGGCTTTGAAAGAAGTTCATGTCCATGTCATACAACTTGAAAAAAATCAGTTGTAATGTGTGTTATCATTGTAGTCTTCACCAGTAGAATTACATTTTAGTGTTTGCATGGTTCTTAAAGGGCAACACCAACTGCTGGTAGAAAATTCAGTTGCTTTAATAGACCGTATTTCCCCTGCTGCTTTGCAATTCTTGCATGAACTGAGTGAGGCACCTTCAACTATGAAAGCAGGTCTCTGAGGCTGCCACAGTCTTCTCGGTCATTTCAATGCTTCATGTCACTACTAACAATTAGGCTGCCTAAAGTCAAGACTCATGAAGACTTATTTTCTCATTGTCATGCACATATTAAGAGTAGTGATTTATTGGCAGAAAATGGGAAGTTATTTTTTAATATTTAATATTATTAACCTTTAAAGTGATATCCATTTCATCTTTATTTAGTTCAGAATTTTTTCCAGAATAGGGCATTGTGCCAAGTGGCATGCCTTTACTAATAACTTCTCATGTAAATATTGATATAAAAATTACAAATATGTTTTTCTTGTTAAAGTCTGGGTTACAAGATATTGTGTGCCTGTGGTAAATTCTATTATAAAGAGCTGCTATTTCCCAATATCTTGTTTTCTTAAAGGAAATATCCTATTTACTCATCTTCTCCTTTGGTAACTACATGTAATTTTCACTCAATAACAGCACATGCCCCAGGGGCCATTTGAGTAGAGTGAAAAGGATGAACTTCATTCTGTAGACTTTTCAAGCATGAAGAAATTCTCAACTTGGGTAAATAAATGTGATGGAAACTGCTTATTTTGGAACCATACTGTTCTAGTTTTTAAACTTATTTAGGGAAATATGGAAAGAATGGCTATAGAGCTTTTATACTTACAACTTTATTAGCTTGGGTGAGGAAATAGCTTTGCGTGAAATTTTGGCTGACATGGCAGAGCTGTGCTCATGGGGATGCCAACTCACTCGCTGAGGTCACGGCTTGGAGTCCACGTGGCGTTCTGTTGGTGAAGGGCTTTGATGGTGGGCAAGGAGAGCTAATGAGAGCCAGGAGCACAGTTTTCCCCTTTCCCCTAGATCTGCAGGATCTGGTCTATTATAGCTCTCATAGGGCCAGCCTGGCCATCTGTCATTCAGAACAGGAAACACTTTGACACTTAGTTCTGCTTCACTCTGTCCCCAAACTGAGTGGGACAAGAATACTTGTAATCCTCAAGTCCTGAGTGACTCTGTAGAAGGCTGTAAGAAGGCCTGTCAATAGAACACTGGTTTCAGAAGTGTTTTTGTTTAAACTATACCAGTTCCCTTTCAAACTGTTCCTAGTCATAACACATGGTTAAAAAATGAAAAGGAGAACTAGATGTTGTCCTCTGTGGTGAATCATTAATCTCTGGGGTTTCTTCCTTGAATGGCGTTTAAGGTGCGGCCAGTTGTGCATGAACCATATTGTTTAGTCTGGTCATGTGTGATAGAAGGCGCCCATGGAATCCATGTCACTGAACTAGCTGTAGGGGACTTCATAAGCCATCTTGTCCCATCCTCGTATTTCCCAGTTCGGGAAGCAGAAATCCTAGGAGGGCAGGTAGCATTCCAAAGGTCACACAGTCAGTTTATTAAGGGCTAAAACTGAAATAAAACACGCTGCTGTCTCTTACTCCAGTGCTTTCTCCACATCACCAGTCTGCTCTAACCTTAGCATGATTTCCAAATGACTTCCTTCTTCGGTTAAGGTGGCAAAATTTATCCAACATGCCCATTGTTTCTATTATAGAACTTTAAATATTTACTTTAATAGATATTGAAAGTATATTTTTATTAACATCCTTGGTGTGGACAATATATTTGTCCATCTAACCTGAGAGGAAAAAAATTATTATGGACACAGCAGCAAAAATAATCAAAAGAAAGTAATTCACATTTTCACAACACCCTAAATGTTTTAAAATAAAACACAAGGGTGGTGGGCCAGTGTAAAGAGGTGAGAGGCCACAGCTGCTTCTTATTTCCAGTGTCAAAAATATGGATTATGAAGTGGACTCTTGGAAAAATGACAGGGAAGCTTGCACTGTCTGATTTTCTTCTGCCTTTAGATTGAATGAACCTGATACAGCTCATCATTTAAAATGGATTAAGTATCTTTAAGAACCTTTCTATCCTGTAATTCTCTGAACCAGTTAAAAAGTTATTTATTAAATACAAAGTACCATGTACCTAGAGTAATGGATAGAGAATTTAAAAAAGTAAATGCAAACAATTTTATTAAATAAATTTTGAAAACCATAGATCTTTAAATGTAAAAGTTATGCACTGATCTAAAGACCTTATTTAATAGATGATACTAGGAGGTATCAATCTCTAGTGTAAGAATAGCTTTGTTGTTTGTTTTTTTTTGCCATGTTGAAATACAACAGAGGGACCCCTAAGGAAATAGAATTATTGTCTGGAGGGCAGGCACCTTGTAGTACAGGCTTCCCCGGTTACACTAGTGTTCTAGAAACCTATCTGTATCAGTGTACCACCTGGCATTGTTGTGAGAGGCTGCGTTCGGCTTCAGTGAATTTTTTGAAACTCTTTCAGCACATTTGCCCATTTCACCATGGGAGATTTACAAGCACACCTGGCCACACCACACTGAGTGTTCAGCAGTGTTTGACCAAAAACAGCATGACCCCCATGCCCCACCCTCCCTATTCACTCAATCTTGTCCCAAGTGACTTTTTTTGTTTCCCTGAATGAAAAAAAAGTCTTCAAAGGGAAACATTTTGTGGCTGTGGAAGAAGTGAAGCAAAAATGCATCAAAACGGAAGGGTTCAAAAACTGTTCTGAGCAATGGAAAAAAGTCTCAGTAGGTGTACTGCATCAAACGGAGAGTACTTTAAAGATGACTGAAGTTTAAACATGTAAAAATAAAGACACGATTTCTCTATAAATAAATTCTGTTTTGGGGGTTCCTCCCCTTGTACACTGAGGTTGAATACTGGAGTTTTATCAAATGCTCTTAACTTTTTTAGTTTGAATTGGTTTAACCCTATAGGAAGAACCCTGTATTTCTCTGGGTTTTAAGTAGAGTTTCAAAGTATAAATATGAGTGATTTAAGTACCCTCAGTTTTTTTTAATTTATTTATTTTTAGAGAAAGAAGAAGGAATGGAGAAAGAGAGAAAATAATATCAATGTGTGGTTGCCTCTCATGTGGCCCTCATTGGAAACCTGGCCTACAACCCAGGCATGTGTCCTGACTGGGAATCAAACCGGCGACCCTTTGGTTCAAAGTCTGTGTTCAATCCACTGAGCTACACCAGCCAGGGCCTAAGTGCCCTCAGTTTTAAACCATTTTTTATACTTAGGAATAAGACAGTTAAGAGTTTCTCATTAAATTCATGTAAACTAGGTGTATGTCAGTAAACACTGGTACTGTCTTAGAAGACACCAAGGAGAGGTTAAATGTAAGGAATTGATTAGGGAAAATGCCCGTGAGAGAAAATGGGAGGGGTCACAGGGAGGCTGGAAGACCTCCCTCTGGCTGGAAGGTCTGAAGGTCTTCCACGCACCACCCTGGGTGCAGGAAAGAGGGAAGGAAGGGAAGACACTGCGTGGAGTTCTAAGACTGCTGTGCCTTTCTAAGGACAGTTCAGGAGGGCTGTCTGGGAGTCCTGGAGCCACCGATGGTTGTCAGAGGAGACCTCTGTCTCCCAGAAGTAGGCTTGCCCTTATTATTCCTGTGATCCATTAAATCAACCTGTCCAGCTTGGCATTCCTGCAAATGTAGCTGTGGATTTTAGAGCACAACTGGACCCTGGGTCAATGACGACCCCGCCATCCAAGATAGAAAAGGCACATTTTCATGGTTGCCATGTATGCTTTATCTAAAAAAAATATTCCAGGTATTCTGAGAAAAGCCAAAGGATACCTCAGGAATAAGGTATCCAGCCAAAGGAATAAGGCCCTAAGTAACAAATTATGTTTTCGTATGCATAATGCCTAGAAACATGGAGAACCATGTACCTACCCATCATACTTTTTTTTTCATTTGACGTACATGCTACCTTCATCTTCATTATGTCATACTTCTTCTGGTTGATGTGTAATTGTATCTTTGAAGCAATACACAGGCTGACTTCCCACATGAGCTGGGTAGCCATTGAATCTGTCTTAGGGCTAATTCCCCTTTATACTCAAATGACCCAGTTTAAGTGAGAAATTAAATGGTCACCCTATGAATAGTTCTATAATAAATGATGAAATAATTGGCCCTATATTTCACAATTTTCAGACACCCTGTAAAGCATGTATGTTTATGTGAAATCAGCAAAATGTCTTCTCTAGTTTTGTGATGACAGATCAGGGGATGAGCCTCATTTATAGTGATGTGATACTGCTCGGGTGTGCATATGTTGTATATTGTCTTTGTTTTCTTAGCTTAGAGCTCCCTTTATGGAGAGCACTAACTTTGATCATGGAAGGAGACTCTAGAAGGCGTTCATCATACAGACATGTTAGTGAACTATTAAGTAAAGTTATTGCTATGTTAGTAGGAAATATTTAATAGGAGAAGATTAGCCTGGCTCACTAGTCTCTTCCCATAATTGCTGGACACAATTGACTCTTTGCCTGTCAATATGATTTGGCAGAGATGAGAACTTTTATAAAAGAAGACTCAGAATTACTTCAAGGGCTCTGAAACCTTG